GTTACGAGCCATGGTGAGGAAAGGAAGGAAAGGAACCTGAGGACTCGACCTCTGTGACCTCAGGTTTAAATCAAAAATTGGTGTTCCAAAGAAGCATCTAAATGAATGTTCTGCGGAAAACCAAGCCTGGTAACAAGGCAGAACCAAGAGATGGGCGATATGAGGCCTGGAAACCGCTATGACACGAAAACGTAATAGTGGCGGCCAAGGTCTCATGTTTGCAGCCTAAGAAAGGAAAGTTGAAGACAAACCGGCGACTTATCCAGCCTCGAGGCTAGAGGAGCGTCCGGTCGAACAAGGAGTGCGATAAAAAGTCCGTGACAGGACTACCGCAAAGTCTAGGGAGGACTATAGGTCTCTCGACCGTAGTTTACTTAGACTCGAAAGCAGGACACCAACCAGACTCGGTGATTCTAAACGGTCCGTTTAGACCAAGTGTCGAGACTCGCATTCTCGAAGAGTTGGGCATGTCAGGGACAACCAAAATCTGGGACGGCTGCGCCGACTAACTGACGTGGAAGTCAGAATATTAAGTTGGGGGGAGATGATACGCCGATTTTGCGGCTAGACTTCAAACTGAGCTCAAACGGCTCTATTAGACTCGTCACAAGTGTCTACGTCTAGCCTACAACTAAGGAGTCTTCATTGATGAACCCCAGACCAAAAGCGCAGCGAACCCTTTGTGAGTAGCCTAAGGCGCAGGCCCTTACCAAAAACGCTAGTAGAGACTCTAGTCGAAGGTACCGCAGGAAGCCTAGCCCTAAGTCTAAGACTCGTGCGCGACGTCTAAGTCTTATGGTTTGTTACCTTTCGGGTCTGAACCTAGATCTTGAACCAGGGCGAACTCTACCCACCTGCGACTTGAATATGAGGACTTAGCTGTACCAGCAGAGCTCATAGGGCAAAAGCCCTAACCAACTATAACCCTAGACGTGACGACTCGACGAACCTAGTCGAGGCATCGAGTCTAACGGATCACCAAGTCTAAGAGTCTAGACTGGTTCCTCCGATTCGGACGACCTAGCGGAAGCAAATGTCATTGGAGTTGATGGACCAACCGGAAGGACCCCCGACGCCGACACACGGCATTGGAGCGGGACGACCAAAGAGAGAGAGAGCCAAGTCTAAGGTGGAGCGCACCACGTCTACGATGAGACCCTCGGCCGATCAGTAACGGACCTCGGGACTGTCTAGACGCGGACGGCTCTCCGCCGAAGGAGTCATAACTAAGCTCCTGTGGAGCAATGTCGATCAAAGTCTGACCCACCAGGTGGCGAAGTGGAGTTCCCCCTTATGGAACCGGAACTGGGTCATGGCCGCGTCGATCACGGCAAGGCGCCCGGCCACAAGCCGTCCTCGGCTGCCCTAATAAGGCAAGCCTAAGCAAAAGTAACCGCGCGTCTACGAGCGCCTAATACTCGAACCGTTCTATTTCTATCCTATCTATCGAAGCTCGTGTTTCTTCTGTTCTATTTCTGTCTCTCTTAGTCTGCCTGTCTTACCTAGTCTTCCTGGTTTTTCCGTCTTTGTTTGTCTACAGCCTTAGTACACCAAACACTCTCCTCATGTATAAAAGCTAGCTAGTTCTCGCTCAAATTCTACAGATTATCGCTGGCAGCTTTTCTCCAGGATAAAAGGCCGTGAAGTCCGGCGCGACTCAGCACGTAAAGGTTCTGTCGACTCGGCGTAGATCGACTTATGGTTATTTCTTTGGCCACTTCGACTCGGTGTAGATCGATTTTGGTAACAGTCGTCCCGGCGTGTTCGACTTTGGTTTTCTGTGAGCACCGGCGTGTGTCTCCTTGACCTCTTTTGTGTATTTTCTCGACTACTCAGTAGCGAGGAGGTGGTGGTACCCTAGTCTAGCTAGTGGTCTGCCTCTGCACGACTTATCACTTCGCGCCTTGAGCCTACAAGCTCTTGTTTTACCTTTTACCTTCTCACCTACTGTCCGCCCACTCCCGTGCACCCCCCTTCGAACCTTTGCATTGTTAAGGGTTTGTTTGGTTCTAGTGCCTTCCTACATACCGTCGTTCCTTTGGGTGAAGTCTAACTTCATTTGGCCTTAGACGTAGTCTTTGGTTGGGTGTAGAGGATTAGCCTTTTCATTACTTTTTTACTTCTTTACCTTCACCTGCCGGTTCGGTTGGTGTGTGTGTGGTTTTAGAGCCTCCCACCCCTGACCGCACATCACCGGATCGCGTCAAGACTTCGAGTCTACCGAGGGATGTTCTAAATATATAAACTTGGACACTGTGTAGGCGCGCTTCTCGACTTCTTCATTGAGAAAGCCCACGCCTCCGTCGACTGATCTCAGCAGCCAGAAGGGCTCACAAACTGACATTTAATTGGATGTAAGTTGAAAAATAACATCGTGTTGTTCCAACGAGGAAAAGAAAAATCGAACGCAAGAAGAAATTGAGTTTGCTAGCGTGTCAACGAACTACTCCTCCTGCGAGCTGTCCAATCTGATGCCATCGATACACATCGCGTCGTAACGCTGGGACGACGTAAAAAGCGTTGCAGGGATAGGGGAAGGTAGTGGGGAAACGGTGTGACTGTGCCTACACCCCCTGGCACTGCAAGCATGGCCTCGTTTGCACTAGAAAGCGACGAAACATGTGTGCGACTCGTCTATTACGTGCATCCTGAGCACTTACTACACAAGTACGATGTTGCGACGATTGAAAATGTCGCACTCAACGGCGAGTACTACACGGCCCTGCCAAGAGATAGTAAGCAAAGAAAGACGTTGGAAGTTGAAAGCCTTTTCGACCCAGTATTGACGCCAATGCTGATAGAAGTTTAATACTTACAGAACAACGTTCCCAGCTTGCCCGTCGAATTATCCCATAGATGATATTTCTCCATACATCCATCCAGTAGACCACAGTCCCCGGCTGTCTCCTGGTCAACATTACGCAGCCTTCAGCATGGACATCGTACTTACTGTGAAGACAAGTATGCGGAGGCGATTGGCGAGTGTGACTGCCATCTCAAGCAGAAGATATGAGCAGGATATCTTCTGGGGGTTTATGTTTGATTCAACACTAAAGTGTGGTTATATATGGTGACAGGAAGATCTGTATAGGAGCTATCTAAAATTTGAAAGTGGTATATCGACCCTTTCACGATGTGACAGTTCATTAACTTTAAAGGAACGTGGGTGCGATTTGAACGCACTAGGAAGATGTCCTTTCCTGCATTAAGGAAAAGATGAAAGTAGACGTATGTCTTATAACCTACCGAATAGCAAGAGAATATATAACTGTTGTTTGGTAAGGCATTTTGGTCTCTGTTTATTGACTGAATCTGGAATCCAGGGTGGAATCCCAGATTCGTTATTGATCTAGAGTCCGTCCTTTGTGGAATGTTTCCGACTGTGAAATTGCAAGCCTCGATAACTTCCAGAAGGCCTATTGCAGGCTAGGTTGGATATGGCGAGTCATCATAGGACGCGACTCACAGACAGGGGTCAAGGGATAAAGAGGCCTGCAGTGGGTACCAGGTACGATTGATTGAGACGGACGTGGACAAGTTACCCTTGAAAAATTCAAAAGCGGCCGCCATCTCAAAACTCGGGTTCGGGTGTTACCTTGGTGTTTATGGTGTAAGCTATTTTTACAAATAGACGTATTGATGCTTTATGAATGAAACAGGTGAGGGAAAAGCTTTCGTAAAATTCCTTTCCAAGAGACTGGAGCTGCGGTAAGACCACCACTTCAAGTGCGCTTCACCCCCCTTGGGGGGCCTTGGGAATTGGTTTAAAAAGGGTGGGGGAGAACCCCATTTCACGGAACCCGGAATTGGGGTGGGGAAAAGGAAGGTATTGGGGGTTTTTCTCCCCCTCAGGGGGTTTATTTTGGGGCCCTTGGGGGGGGGAGCCCTTTTCCCCCGGGTTTTTGGTGGGGGGGGTTTCCCAGGGGGGTTTTTTTTTGTGGACCCCCTGGGGGGTTCCAGAAAGTATTGGGTAACCCCGCCCTTTGCCCCCCATGCCCAGGAGTTGGGGGGGGGTTTTTAATACAGGGAATTTGGACCCCCCCCCCCCCCCCCCCCCCAGGATGCGAAAGGCTGATGACCGACGGAAGGAAGCACGATAGTCAGCTTCTGTTGAAACGTGAACAATCCATTTGGAACTCACCACTTGAACCAAGGCGATACAAGCCGCCAATTAAATCTCACCGCTTCCGAAGGAACATCGCCTCCACCTAGCAAGACTGATAGGCACTTCGAAAGACTGTTTGCTTTCGAGTCAGTAGAGGGCTTAGGTACAACTGTAGAAGCGTCTTACCCATGGATGAAGACGGTTGAGAGGCGTTATCGAGGGCGGTGGGGAGCAGGGCCGATGCTCGTATTTTTCCGCTGATTTGGCGCGGGATTAGCGAACTGAACACATCACATACGACGAGAAAGACAGTAATAGACCGTCTGGGCGTCGTTGCCTGGGTTAGATCGAGGCGATGGGGCGAAATGACGGTGAAAAGGCAGAAACCGACAGGTCCACGACGGCGATGCCATCAGCAACCCAGAGATTCCAGGAATCAGAAAGTCCGCGGCAGGCCATCCGCGGCGGACCATCCGCTGCGGACGGTACAACGCAGCCAAACAACGTACGGTCGCGTGACCCTAAGTCATCTTATCGCGTCGTGGCTCAGATACTTACCTGATTTCGCCCTGCGCCACCACCATCGTACCCGCGTCCTTGGGCCTTTTGGTCTCAGGTAAATCTTCTCGCGAAACCGCTCTGAGCGATTTTCCTAGGATGGTCAACGAAATCCTCGGCGAGAATTTTTCTTGCCAGAAATGCGGCAGAGCACTTCTGCTCCAGGGCCCAGCGAGCAAGGGCAAATATGTTGGTTTGTTCTATCTTTACTGCGTGCGTTCCATCTTGTTCTGGGGGTGTAGGGTGCATCTAACCATGTATAAAGCTTCGTCCCTGCAATTGGCACTACCCGTTCAGCTATGACGCGACCAGGCAACGACTAGCATATCAGCAAGCAATGGCCGTCTCAGACCACCACCAAGCAGCTGTTGCCGCATCTGGGTCCAATACGCCGCAGAGTACATCGACCTCGACCTCTGGCGAAAGGGCGGTCTGTCCAGGCATCACGAGTGGGAGGAAATGCGGCCGCCAGCGCAATATCCAGTGCGTGCATGGGATGTGCAAGACGCACTGTCTCGCTCAAGGCGGTTGCTCCGCTGCTGGACATCGCTCAACTGGAACTGCAAGTCAGCCCACATCTGCTACCCAGCCCGCCTCTCTAGCCTCGTCGCTTCCACCATCACATCCTCCTCTCAACACTGCACAACGCCCCGTGGAAAGCAGCACCTGGGACGGGTTCTACAATCGGTTTCAAGCATCTCCCTCCCCCTCTTCCTCTTCCGACGGGTTAGGATATTTTTCCGATATCGAGACAACCAAAGGCATGCCTCCTAGTCGCCTTCATCCAATTCCTGAAGACGGGCCCACCATGTTCCGTGCCCCTGCGCTTGCTGACCGATCCCCTTCGCTTGACCCTCGACTGCGCGAGTGGGATCAGCGTGTCAAGGCCCTCCAGGAAGGTGACTCTGATTGGGACGACTCGGAGGACGAACGCCAACTCCAGCTCGGTATCCGGGCCTCTATGCAGACATTAGACACCGATGGCCAAGCGATGGGGGCCATTGCCTCAACGTCTATCTCGGTGCAACAGCTTCATGGCCCGGCACCTAACGCCGTGCCCTCCACCCCAGTGGTTCTTTCCTCTTCCTTTCCTTCAACTGTTGCAGATTTGAGCTCGCCAGCACACCCTCCCTTTGCATCCGCCTCTCATACCTCTCCCTCATCGGCCTCTACCTCTGGCGTCCCGTTGGCATCTTCCAGCCGTGCACGTCCACGCTATGGCCAAATTCAGGACATCGCCTCACTTCCTCCTTCTTCCCGCCCACGCATCACTCAACACCTCAGTCCCTTATGGCATGCGAACTGGGAGGAGCTCAAGAGGAAGCAGGACGAGGTTCGTCAACCTCAATCGTCAAAGCGCATGACAGAGGAGATGCGCGAAATTACTGCTGTTTATTGGTGCAAGGTCAGTAGTTTATTGACCTATCTAGTTGCCGAAGCTAATGCCAATGTTCCCTAGACCAACACGGAGGAGTCTCCCCTGTCGCTTCTGATTAATGGAGCCAAGATCCCCAAGTGGCCGACCTTCAGGATTTCTAATAGCCCTGCGCTCGTGAAGGCGATTCTTGTCCCAGACCGTCTCCAAACGTACAAATTCGCTTCACGCACATGGGTAACCCTTGATAGCTTTGATCACCCCTTCACCGTCGCTCATGGTGATCACATCTTCCTCCGCCAAACAAATGCGCCCACTCCCGACTTCGACAAGATGTATGCTGCTGCTACACTGAGGCCTGTGCATCTGCGGAAGAACATGCCTGGTCAGAGGAAGGACCTTCGCACACCTGTGTCAAGGAAGAACACCACTCCAGCCACGTTGTCACCTTCCACCTCGTCCCCTACCACACCGATTCTTCTGAAGGCAAAGGGGAAGGCTCGCTTCATCAGCCCAGATCCAGACCTGGACCTTACTCCCAGAGCGTCCAAGCGATCTCGCCGAGCCTCTTCACCTTCATCGTCATTGGTGGTCCCTCCTTCCTCTGAAGTTTCATCCTCAGCATCGGTGGATGGCACATTCATTGACCTCTCCTCTGATGCTTCTGAGACTTCTGAACAGGCACCTTCTTCGCATTCACCACCTCCCTCGTCCGAGGTTTCATCCTCAATGTCAGTGGATGGGTTGTTCATCGACCTCTCCTCTGAGTCTACCTCGGCTACCTCATCCACATCGTCTATCTCTTCATCCACATCGCCTCCACCTATGTCTTACTCTCGAGCTGGTCGTGGCCGCGACAAAGCGCACTGGCCCGCTGGGCTTTACTGCTTTGAACTAGCCGGTGGGATTGCTGAGATGAAGAGGCTACAGTTAGCGAAGGCAGGGAACCTCAAAGTTCGGTTCAAGAGGGTATTTCAAGAGGAGCTTTCCAGCAAGAACCTCTATTATGACACAGTAACCCGATGGACCACTGTTGCATCTCAGAAGACCCGCGACTACTTCATCGCCCAAGGTGCAACCGATGCAGGATCATGGGACGTCTTCGCCCCTGACCATCCCTTGCCCAAGTAGGCTTAGCGCTGTGGTATGTCTCCATTCTTTAACCTGTTTATGGCAGGTTTCGTTCGCTTTCATCGATCACTTTTCATTTCATATGTCCGTTATGGTCCCTCCCTCCTTTGCGATACCTTGTTTCTGGTTTTTTTCGTCTCCTGTTTTTATTCTTGTCCCCCTTTGGTTCAGTCTACCTCCTTTGCGATACCTCATTTTTTCCTTTGCGATACCTCATACCTCCGATAAACAACCTGTATATTGTATTTTGTGATACCTCAAGCCTTTTCATCCGCGCGATACCCTTTTTCCTCCTTTTCCTGATGGACACCGATACTGTTGGTAGAATAGTTTTTACAATAGATTATCCTTCTGGGACTAGTAGTAGAGTTACTTGAACATAGATTTGTTACTGTTACGTTTAGTAATGTCATTTGTATTGTAGGAACTTTGGTCATCTGAATCTAAGGTGTTAGTATGAGAGGCCTCCTGCTCGTACCTGTACCTTGCCATATCTCCATTCACAGCCACGAGCTTTTGTCGAGACTTGGTACGTCTATGCATTGCCATCTATTGTTTTGAATTCATGTTAAAACTCGAATTGGAAATGTCTGAATAGCCTGGAATTTGGTATGCGCTACCACCAACCTCAACCTCCTCCTGCTCGTACCTTGCCATATCTCCATTCACAGCCACGAGCTTTTGCTGAGACTTGGTACATCTATGTGTCGCCACTGGCTATATCCAGTTTATATCATTACTTGAATTGAAAATGTTTGGATAGCCTGGAATTTGGTATGCACTACCGCACTACCACACTCAGCCTCTCATACAATGCATGCTACACCCCAGCAGAATCTCTTTATGAAAGTAACATTAATTCAACATACAATGTAAAGAATGTAAAGAATCTAGAGTTCGTGAGGATAATATCCACGTTCAAGAAGACGGTCAATGATGCGGATATTTCGAAGACGAATTAATTCATCTAGGAGGAAGTCATACTTGGCTGGCAACATCTCCCGGCAGATAGAATGATAGCCTCCCAGCCATGCATTGGTCTGCTCTGCTACCGAGGTGTTGAAATACCAGTTGCCGTTGTCATCCATTAATTCTGGATACAGCTTGCAGGGTTGCAGATGCTTCTGATCAGTACTCCGTGGGTGACCTTGTGTTTAATTCATTGAAGTGCCATAACATCGACGGCACATACCCATGTCCTTGGAACCACGGGATCTTCTGCTGCCTGCTGGCGTGCGTCGCAGTTGGAAGTCACGTAGATGGAGGTGGTCTTCGGTTTGCGTGTTGCCGCAGACACTTACAAAAGGCCTTCTCCATAGGAGAGTTTACTGAGAGGCAATTGAGACATCCTCCGCCCCGCGCTGATACGCCGATTTTGCGGCTAGACTTCAAACTGAGCTCAAACGGCTCTATTAGACTCGTCACAAGTGTCTACGTCTAGCCTACAACTAAGGAGTCTTCATTGATGAACCCCAGACCAAAAGCGCAGCGAACCCTTTGTGAGTAGCCTAAGGCGCAGGCCCTTACCAAAAACGCTAGTAGAGACTCTAGTCGAAGGTACCGCAGGAAGCCTAGCCCTAAGTCTAAGACTCGTGCGCGACGTCTAAGTCTTATGGTTTTGTTACCTTTCGGGTCTGAACCTAGATCTTGAACCAGGGCGAACTCTACCCACCTGCGACTTGAATATGAGGACTTAGCTGTACCAGCAGAGCTCATAGGGCAAAAGCCTAACCAACTATAACCCTAGACGTGACGACTCGACGAACCTAGTCGAGGCATCGAGTCTAACGGATCACCAAGTCTAAGAGTCTAGACTGGTTCCTCCGATTCGGACGACCTAGCGGAAGCAAATGTCATTGGAGTTGATGGACCAACCGGAAGGACCCCCGACGCCGACACACGGCATTGGAGCGGGACGACCAAAGAGAGAGAGAGCCAAGTCTAAGGTGGAGCGCACCACGTCTACGATGAGACCTCGGCCGATCAGTAACGGACCTCGGGACTGTCTAGACGCGGACGGCTCTCCGCCGAAGGAGTCATAACTAAGCTCCTGTGGAGCAATGTCGATCAAAGTCTGACCCACCAGGTGGCGAAGTGGAGTTCCCCCTTATGGAACCGGAACTGGGTCATGGCCGCGTCGATCACGGCAAGGCGCCCGGCCACAAGCCGTCCTCGGCTGCCCTAATATAGGCAAGCCTAAGCAAAAGTAACCGCGCGTCTACGAGCGCCTAATACTCGAACCGTTCTATTTCTATCCTATCTATCGAAGCTCGTGTTTCTTCTGTTCTATTTCTGTCTCTCTTAGTCTGCCTGTCTTACCTAGTCTTCCTGGTTTTTCCGTCTTTGTTTGTCTACAGCCTTAGTACACCAAACACTCTCCTCATGTATAAAAGCTAGCTAGTTCTCGCTCGAATTCTACAGATTATCGCTGGCAGCTTTTCTCCCAGGATAAGACTCCGTGAAGTCCGGCGCGACTCAGCACGTTAAAGGTTTGTCGACTCGGCGTAGATCGACTTTTGGGTTATTCTTTGGCCACTTCGACTCGGTGTAGATCGATTTGGTAACAGTCGTCCCGGCGTGTTCGACTTTGGTTTTCTGTGAGCACCGGCGTGTGTCTCCTTGACCTCTTTTGTGTATTTTCTCGACTACTCAGTAGCGAGGAGGTGGTGGTACCCTAGTCTAGCTAGTGGTCTGCCTCTGCACGACTTATCACTTCGCGCCTTGAGCCTACAAGCTCTTGTTTTACCTTTTACCTTCTCACCTACTGTCCGCCCACTCCCGTGCACCCCCCTTCGAACCTTTGCATTGTTAAGGGTTTGTTTAGTTCTAGTGCCTTCCTACATACCGTCGTTCCTTTGGGTGAAGTCTAACTTCATTTGGCCTTAGACGTAGTCTTTGGTTGGGTGTAGAGGATTAGCCTTTTCATTTCTTTTTACTTCTTTACCTTCACCTGCCGGTTCGGTTGGTGTGTGTGTGGTTTTAGAGCCTCCCACCCCTGACCGCGCATCATCTGGATGCCCACCGCGAGGGGGTTGCTTCAGTTTACAAAAGAGGAGTGTAGTCGATTGCTAGCCTAGCTGGTATTCGCACAAGTCGAGGAGAAGTCGTCACTTGTCTAACAAGAGACGTACACGAGACGATTGGTTGTCTTCCTTTGGAAACAACAAAGCGTAGTTTTGGATACCACGGCGTCGAGGTCATCTCAGCCCCGTAAAACCAAGGCGAGCCAGAGAGCAGGAGTTGTGCCAGGACTTGAGTCTGAACGAGCGCTACGCAAAGCACTCCAAGGACTTCAAGAAATCGGTGCTAGACGCGACGGATCTCTTTCCGAAGAGGATCCACCTTTCGAGACTCCTAACGCCTCGATTGACGAAGACGCTGTTTCCACAAGGACTGTCTTTACCAAAGACTCCCCCACGAAACACGTCTACTACAACCTCAGTGCCATCCGCACCAAAGTCGACGAGGATTTCACAATCCATTCGACCTCTTAAACCTATTCGAACTCACCCTTCGATTACCCCAACCCCCACACGAGTAGAAATGCCAGACGTAGAGAATCTCAACCCTAAGGAGGTTTCTCCTGGGGATGAGGCGATCCCTCATAAAGACATGCCTTCAATTACGAAAAAGGATCGACCTACCTTATCCAAAGACGATGCTATGGACGTCGTGAGGTATCTCGAGCTTTTGGAGCAGTTGTTCAAGGGCATTGTCAAAACCGATCGAGCCAAGAAAATCTATGCGACTCGTTATATAGACGACCCTATTCTGAAAAGACAATGGGAAGCTATACCAGAGTATGCGACTAGTACTTGGAACGATTTCAAAAGAGCAGTACTCAGGTACTATCCGGAAGGAGAAGGCCTAAGCCGCGGAAGTCGACCTAGACTTATGGATGTCTTTAAACGCCATCGCGAGATATCCCAAGTAAATGTCGGACGAATGGCTAGACTCGCCTTAGCTATCCGACCCGAGGCAGAAGGACTGGAAGCGTTGCAGAAAGAGACAGGACATGTTCTGGTCACCAACCGAGAGATAGTCTCCAACATCCTAGGATGCTTAAGTCCAAACTTCCGAGACGCCTTACGGTTCAGACTCACTCTAGAAGAGTCTAAACCTGCTACAGAGGCAGCCGGTACGACTAGCAAACGGGATTGGTATGGGGAAACGCTCGAAGATAGGGTACCTTGGGGACGTGTCTTAGAAATTGCACAAGACTTGACCAGGCAAACTGGAGCTCACAACGCCTACGGCGGATTTTCTTCTTCAGAGGATAGAGACTATGATGCGAAACCTCTATCGAAATCCACCGGGCAGCCTCTACTCCAGCGGCAGCTGTGAAGTCGGAACCCACAGACAGTGATTTCCGTTCGTTTTGCAAAAGCCCATGATCAAAGAACAACAGCAGTTCGTCTTAGAGCAACAACGAGTGAATGCGAAGTTTGTAGAATCTCTTCGCGAAACAAAGGAGCAGTTTATGGCTGAAAGCCGTAAAAACGCAGAAGCGACCGAGGCTTTAGCGGGCAAGCTAGACATAGTAATCTCCAATCCGCATAACTTAAACTCGGTTAGAGAAACACAGTATAGGGACGGCGCGTCGAGGATGCGATCTAACCAGGGGTCCAGAGACTCTGGGAAGGGAACATTCCGACCAGCAGTGCTTCTATTTGCAATGGCGACAGATCATTGGGTCATGAGAGTGCCCGAGTCGATTAGATGATCTTCGTAAAAAGAAGATCTACACTAAAGGCTCAGAAGTCTACCTCTCTTCCAATCACCAAAGGATCTCTGCCTTCTCACCCGATGGCCGTAGCCAAAAGGAACGAGTTGCGGACATGACAATCCAAGGAGCTTACTTGCAAGGCAAAGCCATGGCTCAATCTGAGTCTTCATCCCATGGAGGCGAAGATTATGAGCGCAGCCGCGGTCCCACTTACGGAGACTTTAACACGATGCAGACGGAAATCTCTCAGATCAAGGATATCGTGCACACGTATCTCCTGGATCGAAAAGACTCTAAGTCTGAAGGCGTTCCTACCATTGAGGAACGAGACGACGACCTCGACTCGCAACTAGACAAGCTGGGAGACATGAACAAGAACCTCTCGGTATTTGCTCAAGACCGAGACAGGTCGGGTTTTCCTTAAGACCAAGGACGGAAAAGTCTACTGCTTCAAAAGCTTCGGCCGGCAGTAGTACAGATCCTGAGGCCAGGATGACCAAGCCGAAGTCTAGACGAGTTACAATAGAGGAAGTTGACGATCCTGATGACGAAGTCGTGAAAAAGAAGAATAAAGTGGAAAATAAAAAGGAGACAACTACAACGGCCGCACCCACGCCTAGTGGTATGAGACCGTATGTGCAAGTCCCCAACCGAAAACCCCATACCTTGGGAACCTTTAAGCCAAAGTCTAAACAGACTGAGGCAACGCCAAAAGCGGTTAGCACCGCACCCCGAAAAGGAGGACGTACCGATTGATCCGCTTGTGGCGACTCATCGACAAGGCCCCGCTTTTTCCAAGAAGGCGCCTGTTGAGGAGCACGTCTCGGTGGCAAAGATTGGGAAAGAACTCCTGGAGCTGGAATTCCCCATTTCCCTTCAGAAACTTATGGGCATTTCGAATGAAGCGCGTGAGTTCTTGAGAAAGATGGTGACAAAACGGAAAGTGCCTCGACATGGTGACGACTTAATCCTAGAGAGAAAGTTGTTGAACCAGTTCGTTTATAACGTGTCGGACGACGAAAGACGACGCTGCAAGCATGCCTGTCTCCTCTTTAAAATGTGGGACTCAGGAGAGCTAGCGGGGCGACTAGACTTGTCAGACTACGAAACAGACGAGGAGCCGTCCGATGAAAGCAAAGTAGCTGAACCGACCTCTCCGGAAGTCTTATCACAAAACTTTATAAGTTTGAACGACTTACCGACGGTCCAGTACGAAGTCGCAGGTGAAGATGACGTCGACTTCGAACCAGGCGCCATCATATGCCTGGATCCGGTCGAACAATACGTACAATCTTTGCCTGAAAACGAAGAACCCAGACCCATAGTCGTAGCTAGGGAAAGCCTTCCATTACGAGCTATCTACCCGGAGATTAACTCCTCTGGAATAGAAGAGTCTCTTCTGGATCCAGGCTCCCAGATTTGTTCAATGTCTGAAGAAGTAGCAAAAGAGAAGAACATCTCGTATGATCCCTCTATAACTGTCTTCTTGCAATCGGCGAACCAATCACTAGCCAAGACTTTGGGTCTAGCACGAAACGTACCCTTCAAGATTGGCAATACTATCGCCTATCTTCAATTACATGCATTACATGTCATCCCTAAAGTTGCCTAAAGGTGCTTCTGGGACCATTGTTCGACGTCGTAATGTCTACCGAAATCCACAACTCTCGTGACGGAGACACGACTCTCATACTTACTGACCCCAACACTGGGCTCAGGAGTGCTGTGCATACTTATCCGCGTGGTCAGCCGCCTCCGGTGATTCAGAGGAAGCTGCAAGAACAGGAAAGACATTCTTTTCAGAATTCGAGGATTTGGTCGAAGACCAAGGAGAATTCGCGGTTGTAGTCGAAAGAGACTCTAAGACAGGAGAAGTTCGATTCATCGAGGCTCTCCTCCCAAAAGAGCAGACTTTCGGCTCCGCTGAACTGAAAGTCGCCTACTTGCAATGCGCGCGCGATGAGAAAAGTTGGGATGAAGTCGCTTCGAAGGCTTTCGATTTCGTACCTTCAACAAGCGATAAATGAGTTGCCGGTGGAACGTCGGACTGCCTTCATACAAAATATAAACACACCAATTACCTGCAGTCCAGGTGTTTTCACAGGCGGATGTAGACGAGCCTAAACCTAAGCAGCCAAAAGCACACCCAGTTTCGGGTAAGCCTGAGGTCAAGCCTAAGATTAAAGGCGTGTCTACTGGGAAGAAGTACAAGAAAGTAGCCGATAAAGTGAAGCCTGTACTGGGAACCTTACCCTCCGAGTTCAGGATCGATCGGAAAATCATAGGCGATCCTCTAGAAGGAATGCCAAAATTACCTACCCACCCACCGGAGTTCACACCTACGGGTCGGTACACACAAGAGCGAAAAGACTTAATGGGACAAGTTGCACCCCGAAGGCTTCCTATGGCCTGAAGAGCGCAAGCTGTTGCATTGGTTAGTCATGGTGCATAACGTCGCCTTCGCCTGGGAGGACAAGGAGAGAGGACGCTTCCGGCCGGATTTCTTCCCGCCTGTTCGTATGCCTACTGTCCCTCACACTCCTTGGGTGCTAAGGAACAGACCTATTCCACCCAGGACTTATGTCAAAAGTCTGTCAGATCCTAAAAGAGAAGATAGACGCAGGAGTTTACGAGCCTTCTAACTCAAGCTACAGTGCTAGATGGTTCTGTGTCTTGAAGAAAGATGGCGAAAGCTTGCGTATCGTACATAGTCTAGAGCCTCTGAATGCAGTTACAATTGCCCACTCAGGAATTCCACCTGCTACAGAAGAACTAGCTGCACGATTCGCCGGCAGAGCCTGTGGAGGCTGCATGGATTTATTCGTTGGGTACGACGAGAGGGAACTACATCCCGAGTCTAGGGACTTGACTACCTTTCAGACTCCCTTCGGAGCCTTAAGAATTGTGACCTTGCCTATGGGATGGACTAACTCAGTACCTATATTCCATGACGACGTCACATTCATCTTACAACCAGAGATACCTCATGTCACAATTCCTTACATCGACGACGTGATCTTGGGGGGACCTAAGACTCGATACGAGGATGGTAAGGGAGGGTATGAGACTATCCCTGAAAATAACGGAATCCGTAGATTCGTCTGGGAATATTTCCAAGATGTCAATCGAGTGGTTCAAAGGATGAAGGTATTGTGGAGGAACCTTCTCTGGCAAGAAGTCCATCATCTGCGCCGAGGAGTTTCCTGCTGCAGTAGGACACATTTGTTCGTATGAGGGACGCAAGCCTAACCCTGATCGACTCAAGGTGATCACTCAATGGGGCGACTGTAAAGATATCTCAGACGTACGATCGTTCTTAGGTATCACGGGCACCCTGAGGATGTTCATAAGGGACTACGCGAAATTAGCAGACCCTATCCAGAAGTTGACTAGGAAAGGCGAACCGTTTGTCTGGGGACCAGAGCAAGTCGCATCAATGGAGAACTTGAAAAAGGCTCTAGCCGAAGCGCCAGTCCTCAAGACTATCGACTACGACAGTGATCCTTGCGTAAAGTTAAGCGTGGATACTTCATATAAAGCTATTGGGTACTACATCTCTGTCCTGGACAAAGAAGACTCGAATAAATGGCACTATGTGAAGTTTGGCTCGTTGTTGATGAACGAACGCGAGTCTCGGTACTCTCAACCTAAAAGAGAACTCTTCGGGCTAATGCGAGCCTTGGAGGAAAACCGTAACTACTTGATCGGGTGTCGGAAACTCGTCGTCGAGACCGACGCGAAGTACATTAAGGGAATGCTGAACAACCCCGGCAATGGGCCTAATGCAACCATTAACCGGTGGATTGAAGCTATCCTAATGTACCACTTCACCCCTACAACATGTGCCCGGTAAAAACTTCGCAATCGCAGATGGCTTGTCGCGTCGACCAGCGTTTCCTGGAGACGAACCGACGACGCCGTATGATCATACAGAAGAAGAAGCTGATGGGTTGCAAGGGATATGAGAAGCCTAACCCCGGAAGATCCTGACCCACTCGAGTTCGAAGATTTCAAGCATGACATCGATACTCGAGGAGGATACTTCACGGAATCGGCACAAGTCATGAAAGACTTTCACGACGAGCTTCACTTGGGGGCGAAGTGTGACTTAGACGTGGTAGATGCGCGGTCTCAGTACGTTAACCTCGAAATACTGCCCGCCACCCCAAAGCTAGGGCAGGAGGAAGACTCACTTGAGTACCAAGGGTCTCGGCGTTCGAAGTTCGCACAAGCTTACGACAAGCGACTTGTGGGGGTAAAAGGAATGGCTGGCGAGACCTTTTAGTAAACCTCTGGGAGAAAAAGGATACCGAATATCTTGCTATGGTTAGGACGGCTAGTCACTTCTTCCTAAGGAAGGGACAACTGTTTAAAAGGAATGACCGAGGACAACACCTCTTGGTCATCGAACCTAGTCGCAGGATGTACATTATGAAGGCAACTCATGACGCCTTGGGACATCGAGGCGTATATGCAACCAAGGAACTGATAGCTAGACGCTTCTGGTGGCCAGAGTTGGAAGGAGACGTCGCCTGGTATGTAAAGACTTGTCATGTCTGCCAGGTACGACAAAAGATGTTGGTAAAGATACCGCCTACGGTGACCGAAACACCAGGTGTCTTTCAAATCCTGCACGCAGACGTCATGCATGTGTCCCCCGCTAGCAATGGTTGTGGATTCATAGTGCACGGTCGATGCGAGCTCACACAATGGATGGAAGCGCGAGCACTAAAGAAGCAGAACGCCGAAACCATTGGCAGGTGGCTTTACGAGGAGATCATTACTCGTTGGGGATGCCTGCGCCGTATTGTCACTGACAATGGCGGACCATTTAAGAAGGCGACTAAGTGGCTTGAGAAGAAATATGGGATAACTGGAATACAAATCTCAGGATATAACTCTCAGGCTAACGGTTCCATCGAAAGGCCCCATTGGGACGTGATGAACATGCTTGCAAAAGCAACAAGTGGAGACATGCGAAAGTGGTACTGGTATCTACCTTCGATTACATGGGCAGACAGAATCACAGTTCGTAAAAGATTCGGATGCTCGCCTTTCTTCATGTTGACTGGCGCCGAACCTGTTATTCCATTGGACCTACAAGAAGCGACGTGGTTAACAGACCCTCCTAATGGGTTTACCACTACGGCTGAGTTGATTGGCGCCCGTGCCAAGGCTCTAGCCAAGCATCGAGATTTCGTGGAAGACGTGAGGCGCAAAGTTCACAAGGACAAGATAGCTAGGGTTGCGCAATACGAGAAAAATCACAAGGCTACCATAAAAGACTTTGACTTTAAGCCGGGTGACCTCGTCTTGATGCGAAACACAGCGATCGAGAGTAGCCTTGACAAGAAAATGAAGCCAAGGTACCTGGGTCCCCTAGTCGTCATTGCCCGAAACAAGGGAGGAGCATACATCGTCGCTGAGATGGACGGGTCAGTGCACCAGTCCAGCGTGGCCGCATTCAGGCTAGTCCCTTACCACGCTAGGAAACAAATTAAACTGCCGTCTAACGTCCATAAAGTCATTGACTTGGGCGCCTCAGGACTTAAAGAGATGATAGAGGAAACCGGTCCCGGAGACGAACTCGAAGACTATATGTTCAAGGGCATGCCAAAAGGCTCAGAGCGAGTCGAGGGCGAACTCCTGGATCTCGAAGAGGATGCTCAATCACGAAGCCGAACTTGAAAAAGAAGACTAGACTCAACCGAGGACGGTTGAAATTTTTAAGTTGGGGGGAGAGAGTATACCATACATAGCGAAGACTTGTATACTCTATATGTACAAGTCGAAGCTGACCTGAATTTTTCGCGATTTCGCCTTAAGTCTCAATAAGATGAAAGGTTGAAGGAGCGATATATTCACAAAGAGGGAAAAAGCCGGAGCAGAAAAACCTCTAAGGTACTACAAACGCTCTAGCGAAAAGATTAAGGCGAGGCGTCTAAGACGTCGCAGGAGTCGTAGTCGCAGGAGCTACACTCGCAGGAGATGAGGCCGAAGGCTGAGTCGATAAGACTTCCTGCATCCGATCCCACTCCTTGCGAAGGAGATCGATGTAAGTCAGCAAGGTCCCCACTTCGTGCGCACGAATCAACATCTCGCGACGAAGAGAGTCCGAGATAGCTCGAGCCGCCTCGGGACCAACTCGAAGGACATCGTACTCGGAAAGCACGGTCTTCGCACGATCCAAGATCTGGCCGAACCACTCGCTCTGTAGGGCAATCAAATCGCCTACAGAAAAAGTGGTAAGTCTAGGTCGACAAGAAAGAGAAGGCAATTCGACTAGGCACTTACCAGACTGGACAATCGCATGATCCGGAAAGAAAGGGAGCTTTTGAATCGAATTGGCTTGAACCTCGGCCAGCTGTTTCTGCTCGGTCTTGGTCCGCTTGAAGGAGAGCGCAGAAATCTGATGATAAGCGCGCGAGCATAAGTCTAGACGCGGTACCATGAAGTATGGGAGACGTACCACGGGAGGCTCTCTTGCTCGGGCTGGATGTAAGAAGTCAACAGACGACCACCATTCAGGAATAGCGAGGGAACCAACCTCAGCGGCAGACTTAGGAGCCTCAGGTTCCTTGTCTGTGACGTCAGCCATCTACGACGTACGGCTAAGTCAGGCACAAGTGTGAAGTCGAAGAAGACGTACCTCGTGATCTTTGTCAACCGTCTTGGTGGCCGAAGCCTTGGGGGTGTCTTCGACATCGTCTCCATCAGTGTCAGAAATGTCGACGACCATGGCTAGACATGTGCCGAAAAGAAAGAGTTAATAGGCAAGCAACACAGATCAGGAAGGATCAGGAAACGCACCGGCCGACTTGCGCTTCTTACCCTTACGGGAAGAGGAAGCAGGAGGTGTCGTGGTAGAGTTAGCTCGCGACACAATGTCGCTGAAGTCGCTCAGGTACGACGACAGCTGAGGCGGATCAGGTTGCTTGGCCGTACGAGCCCAATCCTTGTGAGCCCATGAGCACAGCTCGGATGTTGGAAGCCCAACTGATGAACTCGGAGTCTTTCTCCAAAGCAGTCGAAGGCTTCCGATACGGCGCCTACAAGGATGAAAGCCAGAAGACTTCGGTCAGAAGTCGAACGAAGAAGAAGGGCAGAAACTCACGATAGTCGCTAAGACTTGCTGGAAACTCTGCTCGACCAAGTTGAGCATCGCCTCAGGGAAGTTGCGCTGGGGAAAACTCTCGGTCATGGCTCTGCGAGAGATCGCCAGAGACTTGACTTGGTTTTCAAGCGAGTCGCGGACAGCAGTCCGCTCGCGCTGCCAGAAAGCAATGGAAGCGATATTCGACATAGGGAAGACTAGCAAGAAGGGCGGAAACGAAAGTCGTGAGGGATGGAGTCTGACAGATTCCGCCTCCACGACGCCTTTTAAGTCTTCAAGACCTGGGAAAATTTCCTATG